AGATGTTGTACCGCTGCCAATCTTGAAGATGCACAATCTCAGGAACCATCACTTTAGAGAGCGCGAAGGTGTGCGGTGTGTCGTTTGCTGTTTGTACGAAAACTGCTTCATGGTGTTGATGATACCCATGAGTTTTGTACTGATTGAATCACGCCAATACTAGTAGAATCTACAACGCTCATTGCTATATTCTGCTTTGGTCAACCGAGCAGGCCCGAATTTGGAGCCTTGGGTAGTCGAAAGTTCTGACTCAAGACAGATCAACTTCACGTGGAGGCAGGTCGTCGATCGCGACAAAGCACATCTGAGTGATAAGCATGTAGATCTGTTCGTGTCTGCACGCTGCACAGTCAAAATGAGGGAGTACTTGTAAAATGGAAGCGCTTGGATAGCCCCGGCCGCCTCGCAATCAATCGGTGATCGTCCGTGTGCTTGACGTGAGAAAAAGATCGATTTGCACCACATCGGCGAAGATTTCACTGCGAGCAGCAGATCACCAACAATATCTTATACATGTATTACACCCTGGCGCCCCAACGTTTCGTCCGCATTGTTTGCGTGAAGCCAGCATCGAATCATTCCACCCTCCAGTTCACTTTCAGTTTTGCATTCTGCACACGACTGTTTCCGGTTTCCGAAAAACTACCTTTTCCCTGATGCTTCAAGCGTTGAGCTCAGTCGCCGCCCTCGTGGTTGTCGCCACGATGGTCTCAGGTCGTGCTATGCCCGACGGTTCTTGGCCTACGAGCAAGGGTACCGTCAAATTCGACGACGTTTACACGATTAAATCGGGCGAAGTGTACGACGGCAAGATGAAGACCTACGAACGCTCTAACATCACCTGCAAAGGACAAGAGGAGAGCGGCACATCCACGGCCGTCTTCAAGCTTGAAGCTAACGCTACCCTCAAAAACGCTATCATCGGTGTCGACCAAATGGAGGGAGTGCACTGCGACGACAATGACTGCACTATTCAGAACGTGTGGTGGGATGATGTGTGCGAGGACGCTCTGAGTATTAAGGGCGGTGACGCCTCTAGTGTGTCGCGAGTCCTTGGTGGTGGTGCGCGCTATGCCGACGACAAGATCGTCCAGCACAATGGACTTGGTACGGTTATCATCGACGGGTTCTTTGCCCAGGATTTCGGTAAGCTGTACCGTGCGTGTGGTTCGTGCAGCAACAACCCCGCCCAGCGTTTCCTCAACATCAGAAACGTGTACGCGGATCTCGAGGTCATCAAAGCTCAGCGCGTGGACCCGAACGTCAGTATTGTCATGATGAACGAGAACTTCGGCGACGAGGCTACCCTGCACAACATCCGCGTTAAGCCTGGTGCTGAGAACTACACCGAGTGCAGTTACTCGCGCGGTGTGCAGAAGGGTGACAAGCCGCTCATTCTTGGTAACGGTCCTAAGAAACCCGTGTGCAAGTACTCGATGGACGAAATTCACCTTGTTGAGGGTGGAGCCAAGCAGCAGCAGCAGACCGTGGGAACGGTTCGCCCCGCTAATGAGGTCCAACAGGGCAATGACGACAAAGAAAAAGACAACAAGGATGACAAAGAGGTCTCCCAACAAAACAAGTAAGCAGTCGCCTACATAGGAATACGGCGAGGATGAGCCTAACCAAGCGAGGCGAGTTGGTATATAGGAAAAACAGATGTCGTTGTGGTCAAGTCAAGGTAAAGGAAAAAAGAATGTGTTCACCAAAATTAGCATTTGTTCTCTGGATTTTATATCCAGAGTCCTATGTGGGATCCGAGCAACGTACCAATGCGCCCATAATTAAATCCCCTTTGAATCGGATCAGGTACAAGTTGAATTTGCTTATATATCCTGTAAATATTTATAAAATCTATGC